CTTGTAAACATTTGGTGATGTCATTTTGATTTTTAAATTTTCCTAATGTCATACCATGAGAAGCATATTTTCGTATGCTTATGTGTCATTGATGTTATTTGGGGAAGTGTCTTTTTAGATCTTTAATCCATTGTTTCATTATTCTCCCCTTATTATTGGATCTTAAAAGTTCTTTTGATATTCTGGACACATTTGTTTTTATCAGATAAATGAATTGAAAATAATAAAAAATAAATAGCAGGAACAATGGCATCCGTTTTTGCATGGAAACCATTGACTGCACTCAAGACAAAAATCCCTCTGTGATTGGGATAGTCATCTGGTTTGGTTTGTGAGGATTTTGGCAAAATTACATATTGCTAAAAATTTCCTTCCCAGGAAATTTTTTGAAATTTGAAATAAAGCCTCGATGATGATAATGATGATGTCAGGGATGAAAACAATGTTCACAGTGAGGACAGTGATACGATCTGATGGGTAGTAAGTGGGTTTCCCAATTGGCTAAGTTAACCTCCTACTTGTTAAATTATTGCAAACCTGGTAGTTTAAAACCAGTTTACTGTCTTACAGTTCAAACTGTGCTTCACTGGGTTAAAATCAAATTTCCTTCCAGAGGCTGGAGGGGAAAACACATTTCTTTGCCTTTGTCACTGCATCCCTGGACTGGTGATCCTGTCCCATCTTCAAATTCAGCCAATGTGATCTATTTTTTCACTGCCTCATTAGCATATTAATGTCTCTGTCTCCTTATTCCCTATTTAAAGGATGCTTATGATTATCTGGGACTCAGTCAGATAATCCAGTATAATCTCCTTATTTTAAGGTCAGCTGATAACTGATCTGAATTCCATTTGCCTCCTTAAATTCTCCCTTGCCAGGAACCTACCATATTCAAAAGTTCTGGGGATTAGGACACAGACATTTTTAGGGACCGTTATTCTGTTTGTCATGGATAAAAATGTATTTACATATTTTTCAAAATGTTTTACATGTATTTTCTTTCTTAAGCGTGAAGGCAAAGCTTTCTAGGTATGATTATTCCCGTTTTACCAAGGCAAAAACCAAGGGAAGTGTCAAGGACAGCAGAGTGCCTACATTTCTGTAGCTGGTTAAGGCACAGCCACACCCAGGAGCCAGATTTTTAGACGCACTGCCTATGTCCTTGGTGAGAAATGGTCTTCTAGAACCTCATGAGGCTAAGCTATGGTGGAAAGTTTGAGAATTTAAATGGTTTTTGTTTTAAAGGTTGAAGCATTTGTGATCTGTAGAATCGGCAGTTAGTGGATAGTATTTGCTACTCCACAGGGAAACATTTTTCAAATAGCTTCAATTCTCAGTCAATTTATACACAATTTCTACTCATCTCTAAGGCTTAGCACCTGCCTCACTCTCCCTCCCCTATGTTTAACCCCTAGCCTGGGTCATGGGCTTGTCACAAAGCAGAACTTCTCTTGCTATAGGGGACTTCATCCCTTTCAAATTTCCTCCAGGTAATTTGGGGAGACCCAAGAGCAGTGAGGGAAGCCCCTGATTGACTGTATCTGGAGGTGTGTGATGTGGGTGAGAGTCCACATGCCATGGCCAGGGTGAAGGACCTAATCAGCAGCTTTCCTGCCTTTAGATGTATTGTGCTCCTCCTCCTCGGGATAGGCGCTCTGCCAGCTCATCCCCAAACCCCCTCTGAAATGGAAGAAGGGGTCAGTTTGTGCAACTCAAGCAGCAACAACTGCTTCTCTCTCTCTTGGGAAAGTGCAAAGGGATGTTCCTGGCCCTTAGGCTGAAGTCTGGCCATGGAGTTTCCTGGGTCTTTCTAAGAGACTCTGATGGCCCTCCAACATGCTAGATTTCTCGGGCAAACTGAGCCTAAGTGCAAATTGGGACTCCAGGATACATAAAAACAGTGTGACCTCCAAGTGAAAGTATTTTGCTAAGTGTAGCCTGGCTTTATCTATGGCTTTCTGGTAGTTTGTCCAAGTTCGTTCACAGTGGTCACAACCCCATGTTTCTGAGGATAATTGATCCTGTTCAGGGCATTGGGACTCCTCAGGATTAGTTCTTTTTGTTTGTTTGTCTGTTTGTTTTTCTGTTTAGCTATGTATGATAGTAGGGTGTATTTTGACATATTATATGTACATGGAGTATGACTTAGGATTCCATTCTTGTGTTTGGACATGATGTGGAGTTTCACCAGTCATGTATTCACATATGAAAACAGGAAAGTTATGTCTGATTTACTCTACTGTCTTTCCTATTCCCATCCCTCCTCCCTTCCCTTCATTCTCCTTTGTCTAATCCAATGAACTTCTATTTTTCACTCCCCTCACCCCTTACTGTTTGTTACCATCCACATATCAGGGGGACCATTCAGCCTTTTGGGGTAGGTAGGGGGGATCAGTTTATTTCACTTAAGCTTGTTAGTCAATAGTTCCATCCATTTACTGGCAAGTGACTTCATTTCATCCTTCTTTAAGGCTGAGTAATATTCCATTGTGTACATATGCCACATTTTCTTTATCCATTCATCTGTTGAAGGGTATCTGGTTGGTTCTATAACTTGGCTATTGTGGATTGAGCTGCTGTAAACATAGATGTGGCTGCATCACTGTAGAATGCTGATTTTTAAGTCCTTTGGGTATATACCAAGGAGTGGGATAACTGAGTCAAATGGTGGTTTCATTCCAAGTTTTTTAAGAAATCTCCATACTACTTTCCAGAGTAGTTGCACCAATTTGCAGTCCCACCAGCAATGTATAAATGTTCCTTTCCCCCCATATCCTCACCAACATTTATTGTTACTTGTATCCTTGATAATTGCCATTCTGACTGGAGTGAGATGGAATCTCAGTGTAGTTTGGATTTGCATTTCTCTAATTTACTAGAGAAATAACATTTTTTCGTACATTTGTTGACCATTTGTATTTCTTCTTTTGTGAAGTACCTGTTCAGTTTCTTTGCCCACTTATTGATTGGATTATCTGTGTTTTTAGTGTTAAGTTTTTGGAGTTCTTTTATATCCTGGAGATTAATGCTGTATCTGAGATGCAGGTGGAAAAGACTTTTCTCCCATTCTGTAGGCTCTCTGTTCACGTTCTTGATTATTTCCTTTGCTGTGAAGAAGCTTTATAGTTTGAGTCCATCCCATTTATGGATTCCTGATTTTACGTCTTGTACTTTACGAGATTCCTGTCTTGTAAATGAAGTCAGTTCCTAAGCCAACATAATGGAGAGTTAGGCCTACACTTTTTTCTAGTAGGCCCAGGGTCTCTGATCTATTGCCTAGGTCCTTGATCTACTTTGAATTGAGTTCTGTGCAGGGAGAGATAGGGGTTCAGTTTCATTCTGCTACAGTTTTCCCAGCACCATTTGTTGAAGAGGTTGTCTTTTCTCCAATGTATGTTTATGGTACCTTTGTCTAGTGTAAGCTAACTGTATTTATGTGAGTTTTCTCTGTCTTCTGTTCTGTTCCATTGGTCTTATATCTGTTTTGGTGCTAATACCAGGCCATTTTTGTAGTAACCTTAAATTATACTATAGCTCTGTAGTATAATTTAAGGTCTGATATTGTGATGCCTCCTACTTCACTTTTCCAGAATCAATTCTTCATAGCGCAGCTACAGGGGATTGGTGTTCACCAATATGCTGCAGATCTTTTTACTTTATCCCAGCTGATTTTGGGGCAAAAGAAACTTTGCAATATTGGTATAGAACTGAACCAGACCCTTTTTTACTTCAAGACTTATCGGCTTGAAAGAGTTTTCTCTCCATAGTAGGTTCAACCGTTTGTTTGCAGGAAGAGTAAATACTTTCCCTAACAATGGGGAGAAATAAATATTAGGACTATGCATGAAATAGGTCGCTGAAGAGAAATGAATGTTATCAGTAATACGAGTAGAATTTCTCCCTGTTTCACAATGCATCAACCACCTTCACATGTGAGCCACTTCATCATGTGGATAGCTACTCTGGAGGCTGAGGCAGGATGATGGCGAGTTCTAGGTCAGCCTGGGCAATTTAGCAAGACTCTCTGTCAAAACAGAATAAAAATAAAAAGGACTAAGGATGTAGCTCAGTGGTAGAGCATTGCCCTTCAGCTCATCCCTACTACTGAGAGGAAGGGAAAGAAGGTTGGAGGAAGGACTCACTGGCAGGCTCTGGTGCTTCACCAGATGTAAAGCATTGTTTCTACTTCGGCGAGGCTCACCCTCTTCTGGACTATGCCACTGAACTATATTCCACTCACAGTGGACACAATCACAAAGAAGTGCATAAAGCAGACAAGAGCACTACCTCTATAGCAAGGATTAGGAAACAGGACTACATTCAGTTCCAAGGATGGTGTTTTGCTGTAAAACAGAATAGTACCTAGCCCATAGAAAGCCTTTTGTAATATCAACAGCTGCTAAGTGCTTAGGGAACACCAAATGGTGTGGACGCTGTTGGAGCCGGGGAAGCCTGGTGAAAGTCTTTTGAGCATCCGAACTCAATTAAGGCTACTGCAGGAACATTCTGCTCCAGTGCATTTACCTTCTCATAGGAAATTATACCTTCAGAAATAATTGTATTTTCTAGAGGGTGGTAAATAGTGAAAGAATGATAAATACAAATTAATTTATCTGGTCCAGTGTTTCAAAGTTTGCATATTGAGTAATATTTTTTTCCTGTAATAAATTTAGTTACAGTTGTTTGTAAAATAATTAAAGTTTCAAGCAACACATTCTTATTTTGCTTAAATATGTTTGTGGGTTTGCTGTTAAAAATAAAGACCAAATACATTAGGTTTATTGTTTAGCCAACTAATTATTTTAAAAATTGAAAGTGGATAAGGGTATAAGTCAGTGAAAGAACACTTTTGTCTAGCATGTGTGAGGCCCTGGATTCAATCCCTAGCACCACTGAAAACATAAAAATAAATCTATCAATAATGTCTCCACATATTAATAATTCATACCTTGCTTTAGATATAATGGGTATCCAGTTATTCCATATCAATCTCACTTAATTTTGATAAACAATACTCTCAACCTTCGTTCTGATTTTAAGTTATAAAACTAATCTGAAAAAACGTCAAAGCTCCTGCTAGTGCATGCCCTCCAATGATCCAGTCTGCACATACCTGAGTCATAACAAATCTGTTTGAAGGAAACGACCAGCACTGGCAATCCAACCTCCACAAGAAACATCTGACTCTCCAGAGTCAAGAGCCAGTCCATGCTCTCAGTGCAGACACTCTGGGGTCTGTAATTCAACCTACGTAGGTGCCCTCTCAGTGCCTGGACTGTGGAATAGATCGCTCTGTAGATTGCACGTCTCGGGAGACAGTCTTTTCAGGAGCACTCGATGATTAGGCCAAGTTATTTGGGAAAACCAGTCACTGTATTTATTTTTACAAGCCAGATGCCGCCGCCTAGTGCATTCTTTTACAAAAATAAAAGGGGTTTGGAAAAAAAAAAAAAGAAAGGTTCAGGGTTACTGATGAAACCATAAGGGTATTTTATGCACTTTTGTGAATAGAAATTCTCCTTTATTTTTACCTTCTACAGTGGTTCTGAGAAGCACTTCAGCTGCTCTGTTAAAAAAAAAAAAAGGAAAATGAGGAAGAGTTTTATGTCCAGAGTACAGCAAAATCCTTACACTAGGATTTGGAGGGACTCCTTGCCTGAAGATGTGGAAAGGATGGCAGTGAAGGGGTAGGAGACAGGGAGTCTCTGCTCACCATGGTCTTGTCTCCTGCCTAAGGAGGCTTCAGGACCCAGAGCTGGGCTTTTTTATATATATGTATATATGTATATAAATGCTAAATAATAGCCAGATGTGGATATGTGGAATTGTTGGGAGGGAGAGGAGGGAATTAACTAATGTTCTTCCATAACCCATCTCAGGCTGGTGGAGCAGGTAGGGGAGGGACAAGTTTGTGCCCAAGCAAGGCCAGGAGGCTTTCCTTCTGTCCACACGTTGTTACTAAGTCCCTATTTAGAGTCAGCTACAATTCCAGGAGCTAAGGATACGACAGGGAAAGAAACAGGCAAGACCTTGCTCTATTGCTTACGCAGCTTCCATTCTTGAGGGAGACCCCAGCAATGCCAGGAAGGGACATTTTGCTTCAGTAGAAAGAGTGGAATAAAAGGAAATAGAGACTATGGTAGATGGCTACTAATTTTCTTATGTTGGTTGGGGAAAGCCCCTCTTTTTGAGGTAACATTTGGGCAAAGTCTTGCAGGAAGGGAGAGTGAGCCAAGAGTGTATCCCAGAGAGGCCTGCATTCCAGGTCAAGGGGGCAGCCGGCATGAAGACGTCATGACAGGAGCATGCCTGGCACACTCAAGAAGTAACAAGAAGTCTTAGACATGGATTGAGTGAAGCTTTAAGGTCAGCTGTCATCTCCTATCAGCTTGTTGGAAACCACCCCGTTCTTAGGTGGATGACACACAGCTCAGTCAGACGGGAAGACCTGGTGCTGCTGACAACCACAGGGCCTCCAGCACTGAGGCAAAGGAGGCCCTGCTCTCAGGAGACTCAGGGGAGGGCTGGGCAGGGGGGAAGGCTTGGAGAGAATGGGGGCCAGGCTGCAGCACTAATCAGACTATAAGTAGGTAGAGAGCCCCGACCCCCACATTTCTCCTCTGTTTGTTTTAACAGCTCTACTTAGCAGCACCACAAGAAGGAGTGTGGAAAGTGTGGAATCAGATCTGTTTGTTCACTTTTTACATTTCAGGCGATTAAGTGAAATGTTAAATGAAACCAAATCTATATTCCTGTCAGTGTGAGGCAAAGAAGGAAAATAAACTGCAACTCCTGGTGTAGACAGCGAAGGAGACAAGCAATCGGGGCTCCTTCACGCCCACGCCCCTTCTTTTCACAGAGAGAAGTCCCTGAGTCCCTCAGAGCTTCCTTCAGATGTGCCCAGAGAAGGAGGGGAGAGAGGTCCAGAGCTCCCTTATCGGATCTCACAGCTGGGCTTTTATCCACCTGTCTTTTGCTACGTGCCTGTGCCAGCATTGTGCTGGTTGTGCAAGTGTTGTGATGGGGACTGTGAGGGCCAAGAAGGGGCATCCAACTCAAGATAAGAAGGAATGCAATACGTAACCCACTGCCAGAGAAGCAGGATTTGATTGACTGTTTTTTTAATAGTTTGTTCATTGTTCTTCTCCTCACCTAATCTCAGAGCCATAGTCTAGAATGGATTTTCTCAACCCCAATGCTACTGACATTTGTGTCTGTATAATTGAGTGCAGCTCTGTGCATTGCACAATGCTTAGTGGCACCTCTGGCCTTTACCCACTAGATGCCAGTAACCTCTCTTTTCCCGGTCTCAACAACCAATAGTGTCTTCAAACTTGCCAGGTGTCCTGTGGGGTGCAAAATCACCACCCCCCATTGAGAATCATTGGACCAGAAGAGGAAGTCCTAGCCAGGACTGGTGTTATTTACAATCTCCAGGTATACAAGAATGAAGCGCTCCTTAAGAACAGCTGGTCTCACTTTCTACTGAAGCTTGAGCAATGGAAAAATGGCTTTAAAAGCAGCAGGAAGATGTTAGGTTAGCTATGGAAAAGAATTTCCTGCTTAAGTGGTGAAGCAGAACTTAGAAAACCTCAATGCAACAGTTATAAAATATCCTTCATTTTAGGTATGGGAGTCAAACAAAACTTCACCAATCTGCTTTTAAAGGAGAAAGTAAATCTGCCTCAGAGGGGGGAAAAAATCAGAAATAATTGTTCATTAAGCCTGGCACAGTGGTGCACACTTACAATCCCAGTTGTTTAGGAGGCTGAGGTAGGAGGATTGCTTGAGCCCAGAGGTTCAAGGCCAGCCTGGGCAACCTAGTGGGACTGTCTGAAAGAGAAGAAGAAAAGAAAAAGAAATAGTTGTCTATATTTCGAAAAATATAATTACCATTTCAATATTCTTTCGTGCAATTAGCAATTCAAATTTACCTGAAATGGTTGGTGGTAGATGTGGCATTTTGAAGCTTTACTAAATGCATTAAAGTTGTTTATATTTAATGTATTAATAAGAAGTAAATGACTTTCACATGAGTGTTAATAATAAAGTAGTTCATTTTCATAATGAACACAGTGTTCTAGATTCTTATAGACAATTTTTTCATATCACTGAAAATGTGAACATCAGTTCTGCCACTATCTGAATTAACATGGATTCCAAATTAGTTAGCTCTCTTACTAATTAGTTTATCTCCCACCAAAATTGGTTTTATTTTAAAAAGAGGGAAAGATTCAATATTTCTTGAGCATCTACAATGTGTCAGGCTTTGTGGTTCTCCACGAGCAGTGGTTTTGCCCTCTGGGGGATATTTTGCAAAGCCTAGAAGCATTTTTGGTTATTACAGTTGGAAAAGTACTATGAGCATCTAGAGGGTCGAGGCCAGAGATGCATATCGTCCTACAAGGCACAGGACAGCTCCCCACAACAAAGAAGTATGTAGCCCCAAATGCCGATAACACTGAGGATGAGAAATCCAGGACTTGGTTATTTATCTGTCATCCACATAGTCCTTATGACTCTCTTTAACAGATCCTTACTCTTATTAATTCCCTCAGAAAGGGGAAGTAACTTACCAGAATCCTCAAATTAGTAAATGGGAGAGCTGGGATTCATGTCCAAATGCTAGACCCTGTGGCCAGGCATCATAACCACACCGACTTGGCTTCTTGTAGATTTTTTTTAATTGTTATTATCTTTACTTAAAACCATGTATAACTGGTCTTTACAAGAGGATGCTGATGTGTCCAAAAGAAAAGTCACACATTTTGTGCCCTGTCCTCGACCAAGCAATGTAGCACAAAGCTGTCTATTCCATCCCTTCTGGACCATCAATTCTTAGTGCACAGTGCAATCTTCTGATCCACTTTGTTTTTGTCATTCTTTGCTAAAGTGCCACTTAGTGCCTGGCCAGTCCAATGTCCCCATCCTGAGTGCCAGACTGAGGAATAATATGCAGTTTACAAGTCTTCTTGCCTGATTAGCTTCAATTTCCTCCTCTGTAAAATAGGAACAGTGATACTTTTCTCACATGGCTGTTGAAATGATCATAGGAAAATCATAGTGTGTTGTGTACTAAGCATAATTTTTAAATTATTTTATTTCATTTTTAAGTTTTGCAGTACTGAGAATTGATCCTGGGGTGCTTTACCACTGAGTTACACCCCCAGCCCTTTTTATTTTATATTTCAAGACAATGTCTCACTAAGTTACTGAGGCTGGCTTTGAACTTTGAATCCTCCTTGCTTGGGCCTCCTGAGTCATTCAGATAACAGGTGTATGTTACTGTGCCCTGCGTATTTAATTTCCAGAATAACCTTTATGAGTACATAGTGTTCCTATTTTACAGATGAGAGGAGTGAGACACAGAGAGGTACATAGTTTGCTCTCACATGGTCAACAAGTAGCAGAGCCAGCACTTAACACAGGATGTCTGGTTTTCACCCACAGAGTTGTCTGTCAAGTGCTACACAAACTCGAGAGTCATTGCGAGTCATGATAACCGGAGCAGGTGATTAGAAAGCCTTGGGGTGCTCGGGGTTTCTTGGGGGGCAGTCATGATGCAGTCCTGTCTCAGCTTCAGGGCTGTGCTTTCCTTGTGATCTTCATGCAGTGCCTGCTGTATCTCATCTGGGTGGCAGGTCCCTCCCTGCTTTTCCAACTTTAATTAGGGGACCTAGGGACTTCTTTTTTTTTTTTAAAGTCTAGCTTTGTTAATAAACTTAAATGTGTAATGATTTGTAAAGAAATTTAAAGTGGCGGTGAATTGAGGGCTTTTCTTGATTAGTACAGATTGTACTGGTTTTCTATTTTTATCAATTCACTTTTTAAATTTCTATTTTAAGCCCACTACTAATTATAATAGCCTATGCTTATAAATATAACTTTACTGGATCTAACCTCTTGAGGTATTTTTAAATTTGATCTCACTCACAATATTACTAATTAAATAATCATTCATCAAGTGGAAGGAGGGTAGAGTAGGAGCATATTTCTGTAGTCACCTCTGTTCTCAAGGAGCCAGCTATAAATATTATTAAAAGGGCTGGGAATCAGTGGTCACAGTCAGGCCCTGTGTTGAAACATAATAATTTTAATGGCAAATAAATGATATGTGTATTACATTATTCACTTGTGTAAATTTCAAGTTTGATTTGGGTATCATATTTTCGCCATCTTTCTTTTTCTTTTTAATCGCCGTTAGGCAAAGTGCTAGGTCACAAAACATGAAGTTGCTGTGGACTAGACAGATCTCAAATAACCAGAACATTCCAATAGCTGCATTCTAGATGCTGGCCATGGGAATTACTGTGAGGCTGCCAAGCCATATTGAGTGATCATTCACTCTATCCATCTCACTCACGTACGCGCCCACGTACACACGGACACATTTCAAAACAAACAAAAATGCATGGGATATTGCTCACCAGTGACAGTATTCAAGGGAAAAATCGGGGAGATGAGGTCTCAAAGGGACATGCTGCATCCTGGAGCTTTTGTGTGGAGAGGGACAGGAGGACACTGTTTGGCAACCAGTGTTAACAAGCTTTGGTTATAGGGGTCAGTCACCCTTACAGGACCATAAACATCCCAAGGGAAATTGTTTAAAAATTGCATGTAGGACCCCCATAGTACCCCTACTGAATCCTAAGCTCAGAAGAACCTGGGAAAATGAATATGTAAAAGGGCCACAAGGCCATGGGACCCACCCACATCTACTGAATCAGAATCTCTGATTCTCCTATTCCATGGGGAAAGGAATGTGGATATAGCTCCACAAATAACTGTGATACAAACTCCTGGTTTAGGGATCCCTTTGGGTCACTCTCTTCCTGTTCACTATGTTGGAGGAAGGTAACCCTGTCCAGCCCTAGCTCAGAATTTCTCAGAGTCTGCTGGGGAGCCCACTAGCATCTGAATCACATGGGTAGCTTGCTAAAAATGCACATTTTTGGATTCCACCCTGAACCATTGAATCAGATCTCTGTGGAGGTTCCTTGGATCCACATCTTTGACCCAACCTGTGGGTGCATCTTATGCACACCCCAGTTAGAGAAGCATGTCACCAAGGGCTGTTCAGAGTTCCATCAGAATGACCATCCCAAGCTCCTGCACTTTGAAGATCAGCTCTAATGAATAACATTGATGCCAAAACAGCTCATAGTCCAGTCTTCCTAGCAATGCTCATTTCCTGTTCCTTAGTCCTCTCAGTCCTATGAAGTTGCTGTCACTGAAATTATAAATGAAGAAAATGAGTCTCAGAAGGCCCTCTATCTTGGAAGCAGAATACAGTGTAGTGTCAGAGTGGCCAAGAGCAGGTAGGGCTTAAGGAAATATGTGAGGAGAAGTTGGGTAAATACCTTTAACTTGAAAACATTTAGAAACTATTTCCACACCATATGTTTCTGAGCCCAGATAATTTATCCAAATCCTTTCTTCCAAAATGGCTGCTAAGGTATGGTGCGGGGGGGGGGGAGGGGCGTAGGGGAGGAGGGCGGTGGGACTGGACAATGATGCCATTCAGAAGCTTGTTCCAAATCCTTGTCTCTTTCTTCTGTCAGAAATCCTCTGTTGTCAGTCCCCGGCATTCCCTAGAGATTTCCTTACGAGCAGGATTCTTGTGTTTTCACTAAGACTTCTCCTAGAAGAGAATGTTTTGCTTTTAAGAGCCAGACTTAAGAAAGAGAATCAGTGTAAAAATACATTTGGTTGTAATTTTTGTCAGTGTGGCCATCTGACAGGATTTGAGGATGCTTCCATTTCTGCTGGGATAATAGCTTTGTTATCTGCTGAAATCTGCGAGAGCTGGACAACACAGGAAGTCTGTCTCAACCCCCTGCTCCAAATTTAGCTCATGCATTACTTCAAATTGGGTTTACACAAGGAAAAAGACTTTAGGGCTAATCCAGTTGACTTGTAAGTAAATTTAGCCCTCCAGGTTCCTATTCCCACCATCCAAACTATTTCAAAAGCAGCTCTTCCCACACTTCTTAGGAACACTCTGGAGCATGGGTGCCCAACGAGCAGCTAGTCCATCCAGTGCCCTAGGTAGCTATTCACAGGCCTGGGAGTTTGCTGCTTTGGCACTGTGGGTCTAGAGACCCACAGTGACACACAGCAGGCTAGTCGTGGGAGTGGGCTGTGAGAAAGTAGCCCAGGGCTAGTCATTTTGCATTTCTGTGTCTTCATCTGTAAAAACACTGGTAATAAATGAGGTGCCACATAGAGGGAAAAAGTGAAATTAAATTCTTTGAGCCCATTAACAGAAAACCCATGGAACAAAAACCTGTGATTAAAAGTAATGAAATCTTCCTGTGTTTTTCCCCGCTTTGTTACCATGTACTAATGGTGTGTTCACTTTCCACAACTTATAAACCATTTGCCCGACGTGTTGGTTTTTAAGGCTTGTTTACAGAGGTTTCCCCCAAGCTCATCAATGAAAAGTCCTTAGTTTTCCAAAAACTGGTCAGTGTTGCAGTAACAGTCCCAGAAGATTGTGTGACTCCCATGACGAGCTTCCCCAAAATGACAGCCCAGAGCTAGGTTCCATGACAGAGCAGTGGGTGTCCTGCATGAACAGGAACCTGGCAAGGGATGGAGAAGCTGATTCCCATCTTCAGATTCAGAGGCCAGGAGGTGTTGGAAAAGGTCTTTGTAGGTGAATAGGCTGGTGTGTGGCAGGTAAATCTCACTGAGTACTTTGTTCTAAATGACAGGGGGGAAGTGCTGTTGTGATAAGTGTTATCGAGTCCTCACAATAATTATATGAAGCAATAAAAGAATTACCCCCAGTTGAGGCCCAGAAAGCAAGGTTGAGCTGTGCAAGTCACATAGGAACAAGTGGCAGAGCTGGAATTCCACCCAGGCGCTCTGCCATGGTTATTAGTGGTCAGGAATCAGATGATCATAATACCTTGTCCTGGACTAGACAGAGCTTTGTACTGACTCAGGAGCACTAAAAGCCTCCTAAATAAGAAGTCCTTGATTTCTTCTCAGTTGCCAGTGCGCTTTGTGAATGAGGTACTGCTGACTACCCTTTTGTCATTCACATTTTGTATCTTTTCCCACTTCTCTGAGATGATCTTTAGTACATTTTGCTGACATTCTTTTCTACTTCAGTCCCTTATTTTTAGATGGCCCCTTCCGTTTACTCTCACCTATACACCTGAGTGAGCTCTTTAGTTTCTATGGCTTCAGCTGATAGCTCTGTAAGGATGACTGAGATTGGTCAACCCACCCCAACTCTTCCGGAACTCAAGACCTACCTGTCTGACTTCCCATTGAACATTTCCAATCCCATCTATCCAGGATGTACTGCTTCATGCACAGTAGCCAACACATATGATAAATGGCCAATGGGTGAAAAGTCACAGAATTTAATGAAAATAGTTGGCACAGTCTATGGATTTCACCTTCCAGATTGCTCTTAACTAAGCCACTATCTTCAATTTTCTTGAATTCCCTCAATTCCCTTACCCTTGGGTTCCATAGTGTCTTGGGTTTGTGTTTGTTCTGGTTCCTTTTTTTCCCCCTCTACGTTTTTTAATCGTCATTCATACAAATATCTGTTCTCTTCAAGAATGTGTATACTTGAAGGGAAGAATTTATATTTCCTTCCTCTGAATACACCAGATATCTCAACACTATGTTTTTCACAAAGAATCTTTTTCTATCAGAAGAATGGATCTGTAAACGCAGACATGGCACTTGACATTTTATAAAGGGCTTCATATAGTATTTCTTTTATCCTGTGGTGTGCTAAGGAGGTAGGGATGGTCATTAACCCCAATTTACAGATGGAGCTGTAAGGTGACAATCGTAGTACCTTGTCCTGGACTGGACAGAGCTATGTACTGACTCAAGGATCACCAAGCCATTCTTAAGATTCTGAACTGGAAGACAGATTAACTCCCCATCGTGCCATTCTCCTCTGTGTGAACTGGAAAAATGAAGAAAAGAGAGAGAAGAGAACTTTCAGAGGAAAACTTGAATTGACAACAGTTACAAATATGTCTGATTTGATACTCTATCTTGGATGTCATAAGCATTGACCCAATTTCCACATGGCCTCCATGACTCTCCCTCCCAGTGCTGCTCCATATTTGAAGCTCTTAAGAGTATTTCACCTACCTCAGGAGAGACCTAGGTACCAAGCTATTCTGGGAAATTCCAATTTTTAGTCTCCAAAAAGAAAAGCCTAGTCTTAAAAGCTTTAAAGATTTTTCTTTTGGAATCTAAGAGACCTAGTTAGAGGCCTACCTTCAACATTTAACAACACCCTTCAGTCCCACCATCTATAAAGTGACAGTCCCACTCTTACTCATGGGAATATGTGCAGATTAAAAAGAGTGATTTTAAAGTGCTTGGCATGGCTCCTGGCACAGGACACTCAGTGCATGTTCTTCCTCTGCCCCTGAATTGTACCTCCACCTTCAACTCTTTCTAAATATTGGACGGTGACCAGAGAACTTGGGGCCAAAATGAGACTCACCTACTGAGAGGAGAGAGAAGATAAAAACAGACAGATGACTGATGTTGGGAAACATGAACTGCTTCTTGCACAGTTGCTGCCCATTCAAGCAGCCCCAGGCCACCTCCAACTTGCAACATGACTGAAATGCAGTTGGACCTTTCCAATCAAATCATCAGAGTTTTTCAGTCTAATATGGCTCTTGTTAGACAGTTAACACCCCTTTGATACCATTCTGTGAAATGTTAAGAAGCAAAAGCTTAAAGGCTTACCGTTTCCAAAGGAGTGGCTGATGGGAGAGGAGCTCAGTCTTTGAGGGTGCATGGATGCCCGTGGCAGGTGTGAACAGCATGACTGGCTTCCTTAGATTGTCAGTTCTAAAAGACCGCCTGCAGCACCTTTAAATAGAGGGCTGGGGAGACATGCTTAAATAGTCTTTTCTGCTGTACAGCAGGGCCCAGGATACTGACAGCACTAAGAGATCTACTGAGAAGTTATTTGGGATGGCATTAATAAAACAGGCACCTTGCCTTTTCTGATTGACACGATTCAAATGCGTATTAACTACCTTTCAGTACCACTGGGCAGCGGTGAATGAAAGGGATCATTAGAATCATCCAAGTGAATTCCTGGAAGGGACCATGAATCATCTTTATCTTGTCCTACTTCTTCTTTTTACAGGTAAAAATAGTCAAGGGTCAGGACATGTGATAAAATCCCCATTAACTGGAATATTCAGTTTTCCAGAGTTGCTTGCCTTGTGTTGTGTGATAGTCCAACTTTTGTTAAGTAAGGATAAATTAGGTCAAAATAAAATGGTTCAGATTTTTTTAAAAGGAGAATTAAACATAAGTGATATGTACAGCTTCCTGTCTCATATCTTGCTGCACCATTTAGTTAGGAGATCCCCAGATGCATTTTCTAAGTTCTTATATATGTCTCAGCTTGCTCATCTGTATGAGGGATAAATAGAACTAACTTCTTAGGGCTGTAGAAATAATTAAATGTTTTTATTAATATTGTTATTAGCATCTGCTTTTGCTCTATCTCTGCTTCCGCTTGATGCAGTGAAGGTTGAATAACTTTATTGACAATGGATGGCAGCATGGGCTGAGGCATTGTGTGGACCTAGGTGTTAATGTGGGAAAGTTGCTTTATTTTTCTAAATCTCAGTTTCTTCATCTGAATAGGAGTAGTAATGTCCGTCTCTCCTGAGTACAGATATGTGCGCTCTTGTATGGTGCATATAAGATCACAGATATAGAGTGCTTAATGTATACATGTGCCAATAAATGTTCAACATTAGTTTGTTTATAATAAGGACTCTCGAGGCGCTAGAAAGTGTGGGATCATCAAAAACAGTACCTCTTTGTTCATTCAACACTTACCTCTTGAGGACTTACTCTGTTCCAGACATAAGAGTTTGGCATCCAGGAGACAGACTCACAGTGTGCTGAAGCAAGAGAGTGTTTGTCATGAACTCTCAGTCACCAAGGAAACAAGACCATCCCATTCCGCCATGTTTTCGAGTTAGTCCACCCTCTTCTGCAGAGTCCTGGCATTCCAACTGGGGGATGGCTGTGGTGCATATCTCCTCAGATCAAAAAGTATTTCTGTGAACAGTGATAGTGAACATTAAACTGACTGCATCAAACTTGAAAGGATGGTGCTGTGATTTCTGTGACACAGTTCTTTAAACGTCATGCCTGGTGCATCTGCACATGGTAGACATAAAGGAGGTTTCCAAAGGGGCAGCTTTACTACTTGAGCTTTTAAATTGCCAAATTGCATTTTTGGGAAATCCACATAAAAGAATGTCTCTGTTAAAAAAAAAAAAAGTATATTACTTCAGAAAGAATAGGCTTTTACAAAAGGAGTGTGTCATTCTGACGGATCATTCTTAATGATTTTACTGATGTTGTGATGGTCATTTCAACCTCTAGATGACACACATTCACAAATATAATTCCTCTCATCAGGAGTTATATACAGTAAGAAGATGCATGTGAGTGTGTGTGTGTGTTGGGGGGTGCATGCATGCACACACACTTAAGTCAAAGGGCATTTGTGTGTGTGTGTGGATCAAACTCAGGGCCTTGAACATTCTAGATAAGCACTCCACCACTGAGCTACATCCTTACTCTAAAGGGGCATTTTGAATGTATAAGCAACTCTTTCCTTTGGCACCAATCTGTAAACAAGAAGAACCCTTGGCTGGGACTTAGGACCTGGCTTCTGACCTTGATGCTGCCATGATTCTGAGAGGAAGCTCAATGTCCACCTTGTCTAGGAAGACTACCAAGCCTCTAGTTCTTCCTGCACTGAATTTGTGACACTTTCATTCTGTGCTACATGACTTAACATATGGCCTCTTTAGTCATTTCAACATTGTCTATCTTATCTTTCCAGAAAGATTTCATACATGCTCTTTGAGAATAGAAGCCAAGCGTAGTCTGTCTTTTGAACCATTCTCTGAGACACAAGACAGTGCTGGAAAGTATATCCTCAGACGAAATCTTATCAATCAAGAAGTCCAGTGATTGGTCAATGATGTTAAATTATCTTCTGCTAAATCTTTTGTGGGTGGGGGATAAAGGAGGGAGTGGGAGACTAGAGTTCCAACTCAAAAGAAATCAGATGAAGAAGACATCAACAGATCCAGTATTAAGTGCCCAAATTGATAGCTAGAGAACTGAATAAAGCCTACTTGATTTCTTCAATCTCATTGTCCTCATCTTTAAAATATCTGCCTCGTAGCATGATCTTGAGGGTCAAATGAGATACGTGGAAAATGCTGTGCATGTAGGAACTTTGTTGTGTTATTCATTATTTCGACTTTCAGTTTGGTTTGTGTTAAGGAAAAAAAAAAGGATTATTTTCTTTTCTCAAACCAACAAGGGAGGGTAGAAGTCATTATAAAATCACATTTTCCAAAGCTGCTCGGGCTTATGTAAGAAGTTAGATCTCCCAATGTTGATCCTTTTCTCAAACCAACCCACCTGCTGCATACCCCACACCTGATGGCTCTGTTACATTCTGTAGGTTTTGTAGCTCACAAAAGCATTGTCATTCAAAAGTCCCATTATAAAAGCAACATGGAGGTAAGTATTCCCATTTCACTGATGAATAGCTGATACCCCAGAGGTTTAAAAATGTTCCAGTGTCGCCCTGGCAGGCTTACATTGTCTACCTCTCTCAATCTAATTCTCTTTCCACAGTGCCACCTGGGAAATATAAATTAGGTGCCCTCTCCCAAGGCACTCTCCACTGTAAATATGTCCACAGCCTTCATTCCCGTCAAGGAGATAGTGCAGTAACAATCTGTCTCCATGAAAATAACTAAAACATTTAAGCAAAGATTTCATCCAGTTTATAAGTCTTTAATATTCCTTAATAAATGTCAGCATTGTAATCCTGGCCTGTCTACATTTTCAGCTACACAGAAGATTGGTTAAGAATAGATGGATCTTCATAGTGGGGGTGGGTAGGGAATAATTAAGGAACTTTGGACTGTGCAAAGGGGAGTGAAGGGAGGGGTGGGGCTGTGGGGATGGGAAGGATGGTAGAATGAGACATTATTACTATATATATATATATATATATATATATACCATGTACAGTCAGAGGAATGAGGAGTTGTGCTCCATTTGTGTACAATGTGTCAAAATGCATCTATTGTCATGTATAACTAGTTAGAACATAGTTTAAAAAATAATAGAAGGGAGACCAGTAGAATAGAAAAGAGGATCAGAAGGAGGGAGGGGAGTCAAAGGGGGGAGGTACTAGGGAATGAAATTGACCAAATTATACTGTTTTATTGTATGCATGTATGAATATATTATAACAAATCCAACTGGAATGTATAATTATAATGTACCATTAAAAATAATAAATAAATAAATGGCAAAATTAAATTAAATTTTTTAAAAAAAAGAATAGATGGATCTGATTCTAACACTCCTCCTGATACTTACCAGGTGGGGAAAATCCAGAATTCTTTTCAAGTGTTGGCGAATGGGAGTTAGCCATACCTGACTCCAGGTTGAGGACTTGGCATGACTCCTGGGTGGAGGCTGTGGTATTTTAGCCATTCCTGGCTATGTAAATAGAAGAAAGATTTCTGTCTGGATGACTTGGGAAAGTCCAGCCTTTGGACCAGTAAATGCTATCATGATTTGACAGTATTAATAAAATACCTCATCGTCCCTCAGCCCGCGTCACCTTGATGGTCCATCTCTAGTTGGCATAACCCAAGGGCCAAGTGCAAAGGACATTTCACTGAAGACATCAAGGGGATGCCTTGTTTTTCCTCCTCCTTAAAGAGGCATTTCAGTCAAAATTTTTTCATGCATATTCCTGACCCTTCTTAGCCTCCAGGTAAAACACAGTACGTGCATGACAGGAATTTTGACATATGTTATTTGTACTCTAAGGAAATGTGGTTTCCTTTTTACTGCCTTTTCCATCCCAATCCATGTTGGCAAATTTTTTCTTTCAGGCAGAGGAAGCAAAAGTGATTCATACTCCTGTAGTACTATTTTTTTTAATTCTTGTTCCTGATTCTAAAATTCTACATAAGTATAGTGTCTCAGGGCCAGGGTCTGTAGTGCAAGAGCTGACCTCTCTCCATGGCACACCTGTTTAAGGTAGAGCCACAGAAATCAGAACAGCCCCATGAGATGTAGAAATGAGATCCTGACTTTGGAAATGGAGAAATGGATGACTTAAATAGCTAATTATTTAAGCCACACCACTAAGAAATGGCAGAGCTAGGACTTTAGGTCTGGCTAATCTGATTCCTAAGCCTTTGCTATTGGACACTGTGGCTTAGAGTTTCTCAAACTCCAAGAGCCTTCTTGAAACGAGAACTCCTAAGATAAAGGCAAACCTTTAAAGGTGGAAATCTGTATATTGTGCAGGTCATTTGGGAAATGGAGAGTTTTGTTTTGTTTTGTTTTTGTGCTGCTGGGGATTGAACCCAGGCTTTATGCATGCAAAGCAAGCACTCTACCAACTGAGCTAATTCCCTTTAGTGCTTCTCAACTCTCTCCAAAGAGGCAACAATGTACTACCTACAAGGCTTTCTTGTCAGTGGCCTTAATGGAGCCTACTGGTGATCATTAGCAGGAGTAGTAAACCCTGATATCCAGAACGCAGCCTTCTTCCCATGAATAGGACTAGGGAAAGATAATAAATTGGAAGCAAGCTGCAGGGAGAATCAGGTGGGGAGCACTGTAAGGAATTTTTAGTGAGACCCTAGAGCAACATTATCCAATACAAATGGCATGCATTACAAATGGGAACTGCATGTGTAATTTTAAATTTTCAAAGATCCACATTTTTAAAAAAAGTAAAAACAGGTGAAATTAATTTTAATAATATTTTTATTTGACCCATTAGATCCAAAATGTTATCATATCAACATGTAATCAATATAAAGCATTAATGAGAGACTTTACCTTTTAGAGGCAGAATATACCAAGTCTTTGCAATCCAGAGTACATTTTGTACTACCATCCATTTTGGTTTGGGCACATAAGTTTGCCTATAAACACTGGAACGTAGCTGCAGCTCTAACAGCGACAGTGATGCTGCTGCTTTCCCCCACCGATCAACACACTCCCATGCCTCTGTTTTATTTTTCTGCACACACTTATCACCTAACAAACTGTATGTTTTCTTTGTAGTTTTAATTAGGGTATTATCTAAGCAATAAATGAATAATAATGGATGAATATATGAATGGATGGATAGATGAATAAGATAGATAGATAGATAATGAATAGACAGGCTTAAACAAGATAGATATTTATTTCCCTCCAGTCCAGTGGGGCTTCCAAGAGCTGGAAACTGGAAGGGTAGCTCTTTTCTCTCTGCTCACCTTGAGACCCAAGCCTGGTCTGTCTCACTCACCTGCCAGTGAGCCTCATCCTAGAGGACTTCTTCTGTATCATTCTCCATGGCTATGTTCTAGTCAGTGGGACACCCTTTTATTTTCTTTTTAAGGTCAGAGTCCACCCTTCAAATTCCTCCCTTCCTTCCTTTCTTTACGAAATCCTGACCCAGAAGCAAGTATGTTTCCCTTCTGCTCACATCTCCTTGACTGGAACGTAGTATGTCCACATCTAGTTGTGGTCTCCAGCTGCTTGAGCCAGTGGTCAATGAATGTGGAAAGTTCTACCACTAAAGTTGGAAGAAAAGAGTAGTCCTGGATGGACAGCTAACATTTTTTTAGCACTGTCCCTCCTGGAATTCCAAGTCCATGATGACAGGGATTTGAGGATGTTTTGTTCACAGCTGTGGTTCCAGCAGGTGGTGTACCAAGGGCAGGACGCTGAGAGCATCCACCCTGGTGGGGAGAAATACTTTATGGCATTGACTTGCCAGCACATAAGGGTAATAAAAGGGACTAACATACTGGTCTCATTCCTGCTTTTTAAATTCTCCACAGACTCTACACCCTGCATTGCCTACACCAGAGCAGATATTCTCCTGCCTCAAGCTCCTTCAACCATTCCTCTCATGACATGATTTTGGTTCTCTTCACCCACCTTTGCTTTCAGTAAATGTCAATTTATATATAGCTCTGGGAACATTTGGCACCCAGAGTGGT